TTAAATATTTAAGTAAATAAAAGAAGAAAAGGGTAAAGGAAAACAAATGGCTTATTTATATTTATTTTTTAATCAAAAATTTTACCACATTTCATCAAAGCCTAATCATAGCCACATTAATCTCAGCCTGACATGGTTGATAGAATCACAAAAAAAACTACAAAGTTTATTAAAAAATAATAAAAATAGCATAAAGATATATATATTGATATTTGAATAAATAAAAGTTAAATACAAAATACAAATAAATTATTTATTTATTTATCAAATGCTTTGTATTAGAACATTACTTTAATTTGTAAAAATTGATATAAATTGATATAAACATTACAATAATTCTGACTAGCTATTAAAGTCATAAATATAATCATATGAGTTATGAATATAACTTCAAAAGGAAAAATTATTACAAGCTGATGTAATATATAAATATATACTTTGACCAAATTTGAATTTGTTTTTTTTCATAATAACCATTTTGGTTGTAAAATAATTTTCATACCAAGCCTCGAAAGCCACTTTTTTTTAATAATATTAATTCACATAATTCTTATTAAAAATCAGTAAACAGATGGTTTTGTTGAAAGCATTTGGAAATTAAAAAGAAAAACAATGTTTAATGTTTGTATAAAATATTTGTAACGGGCTTGTTCCGGTGGCTTAATTATGGGCAATTTATAGTTTTTTAATCCCTAATAGAAAAGTGATTTTTGATAGATCACATGGTTTTACTTAATCTTAATCAAAATTTGGAGAATATTTTAATGATTTAAAAGAATAGATATAAATTATAATAAAACTTTATTGTTTAAAAAAACTTCGGTTTAAAATTCAGATGAGTTGCGAGAGCTTAAAATTTATTTTGTAATCAATAAGTTCTTATTTTTTTGTTTATCAGAATAGATTCTTGCTGAAAAAATAGTTACATGATTTCATATATTATCCGAATATAAAAGTGACTAGACATTCTTACTATAAGAGGAATGCCAGAAATTTATTATTTTCTAGTAGAGGAAGCGCTCAACCACAATCTGGGAGCAATAATTAGTAATGACAGATTATAGAATTAATATTTTTAATTTATGAATTTGGATTCAAAATACATATCAAGAACTATTTTAACGAAGTTACCTCTTTAACATGTATGTATCGATCCAAGTATTTTTCTCACCTCCTTAACTACACAAGGCTATAATAATTTTCGTTATACTGTAATTAAACACTCTCGATTTCAACTGACAACTTTAGGAATTTAATATTCTTCTACATACATCACATGACTAAAAACACGTCATTTATTTGGAAATTTTGACCCTTCCTAGGTCAATACTCCAGGAAATGTTTAAATTATAACATCGGGCATCAAGGCTTACTAATTTCCCAAAAATGAAATGTGAACGTCATCTGTGTAGGAGATATCGCCCTACAAAATTATAAAAGGCATGCGAAAGATAATGATGATATCATCAATATCTTAATTGTTTTCTTGTGCTTCTAAAAGATGGGTTGTAAAAATCGGTTTCACAAATTCGCGATCGGCTAAAATTAAGGTAATTTCAGCCACTAGTCATAATGTGGTTGGAATTTCAAGAATTAATGTAACGGTGATCACATGGTTATAAGGCCATCCAATCGAATTTAAATATCGCGAATGTTATAGATTTCTTTTATTGTTATAAAAAAATGTGGAGATTATATTTATTATTTTATGCCTTTAACAAATTAATGCAGTAATACTTTCGCTTAATTATTTAAAAGCTTCTATTTTTATTATTGACAATTAAAAAAAAGTCAACAGAATCTCAAAATTGCTTTGTCCGCCGGAATATTTGAAAATGTGTTTAATGATTCATTAATTAAACAATTCATTCTCTATAAAAAGGTATATGGCAATCACACATATACTTGTTGCTCAAATAAATGGGATAGAAAATAAATTTTTTCAAATATAATATTTTAACATTTTATTTTTTAAATTTTTTTTTTGTATATTTAATTATTTGTAAGTATTATTCTTTTGGGTATTCATATATCATTATAATATAATCTGTAATTTATTAATTATTTGGGCTAAAGATGTTACATCTCATAGACACATACTGTATATATTAATAATTTAAATTTAAAATTAAAAAATTAGTCCTTTTTTGCTGAATATCAAAACATTTTTAATTAAATACTAAACAGTTTTAATTAAATACTAAGCATTTTAATTAAATGCTAAGCATTTTTAATTAAATACTCTAAGCATTTTAATTAAATACTCTAAGCATTTTAATTAAATACTCTAAGCATTTTAATTAAATACTCTAAGCATTTTTAATTAAATGCTAAGCATTTTTAGTTAAATAATAAGCATTTTTTTGTTATTACTAAGCATTTCTTTTGTTAAATGCTGAGCATTTTTCTGTTAAACACTAAGCCTTTTTTTGTTAAATACTAAGCCTTTATTTATTGTTAAATGCAAAGCTTTTATTGTTAAACACTAAGCTTTTTTTTTATCCGACACTAAGCCACTTTCGTTAAGCTACATTTTTTGTTAGATATTAAGCCACATTTGTTAAATGTTAACATTCTTTGTTAAATCCCAAGTTATTTTTTATTAAAATTTAAGCCCTTTTTTTATTAAATACTAAGCCATTTTCTGTTAAATATTTAGTTTGTATATTATTAATTAGTAACCAAATTTTTATTAACTCTTTCTTAAGGCGCAGTAATATTCCAAATTGAAAGTTATTATAAATAATTTTCAATGATTTCTTTCAAATTTCATCTGTGATGCTTATTATCATTCAAATTTATGAACGATAAATATAGGAATGATAAAAAAAAATAAGGTTATTCCATTTATAAGTGATTGTCTTTGAAGTCATTTTTTGTTCGTCCAATAAGTACTCTCATAATATCTTGATCCTTGTTGCAAACTACTAACTATATTTAGTTAGAACTTAGAAGTGCCGAAGGCGCTGTCTTATTTATCTGTCCGGCACGTGGCGTCGCGGCGTCCAAGCAACACTTCGGGCTTATAACGGTATCCGTAGGCAGTAAAGTAGAGTTGTACAATGAATATCACAAAACAATATAAATATACACCATAAAAAAAAGAAAACAACATAACAAAATTTAAAAAATAATAAAAATTTAAAAAATAATAACAACATTTAAAAAATAATAACAAAATTTAAAAAATAAATAAAAATACTTTTCATTCTTGTCTTTTAGTTAATAAACTTGATTTTCCCAATCCTATGGAGAGAAATCCTTGGAAATATTTAATATATCGAAAGAGGAAATTTCGAGATTTAAATCATTTAATCGTTGCTTATTTATCAGGTGAGCCAAGAAATAAATTAAATTTATTTTTCACTTAATTCAAACAAAAAAAACTTTATTTAATTATATTAGTTTTTGTAGGCTTCTAAATTTAAATGTAATCAATGATTTATTCGTGATGATTCCTAAAATGTGGATTATTTACAATGAAAACAAATTCATCAAAACATACAATTTTTAGTATGTTTATGCAATGATTGGGTCGTGAATTATAAAATCTATTCAAAATTTGCCAGATTTTCTGAAAGATTCCTTGTAAAACCAGAAAGATTTTTAGATTCCAGAAATTTTTTTTGGATATGACATATTAGATTTCTAGGAAATTTTATTAGTACCAGAATATATTCAGTGAATATCCCCCCTTTTTTTAAGCAAATTCAGAATTTTCAATTTATTCTTGATTTTTTTTGGTATTTTCTTAGAGATTTTTTACACGCTGTATCAGTGAATATCCTTTTTTTTTAAGCAAATTCAGAATTTTCAATTTATTCTTGATTTTTTTTGGTATTTCTCTTGCTTAAGAGATTTTTTACACGCTGTATGTTAGTAAAGTTGTTAGTTCAGCTATTCATTATATTAATATATTTTTTGTATATACTTTGTATGTATTTATATTTTTTATTTATAAATATTAATAAATATAATAATGATAATAATATAAAAATGTGATATGATTCAAATTATTTTTAAAAATATTTATTATTATTTAAAAAAATGTATCAAATAAAAAATTTATTATGCTATTGCTATTAACGCTAATTTTTACTTAAATATAGCCGAAATAGAACAAATAGTGGCAATACACGCATATATAGTGATTGGCCGATCCTAAACTCAAATTAAAATTTATCGAATCAGTATTTTCGAGAGAAAAGCGTCAAAAAATCACCGCGCGGTGATCATTACTAATATGGCAAGCCGCTCCGACATACTTTACATCGGGTAGACGCTGTTAATAGCTGCGGGTTACCTGCTATTATTGCGACGGGTTACCCTTGAACTGACGGTTCAACCTGTTAATTACAGGGTTGATCCATCGCTTCTTGTAGCAGGTACCCGTAACTTTTTCATCGGTCCCTACTTTTTCTTTTGAGGTAATTAAAAATTTTAATTAATTTTTAGGCGAATCTTTTTAAATTTTTTTCCATAAGTCCTGGAGACTGGCCCTATAAAAAAATTCTGGAAAAAACTCCGATAACTAGTTTTTATTCCGAAGTAACTCAGACACGTGATCATTCTTCTGAAAAATTTTTTATAGAGTGGTACAACACGCCGAAATTCTAACGGTCGAAAGGCCTCTAGTAATGCGCCCGCACATGGAGCAGCAGTCGGTGGCGTTCAGCTTGATTGATGTGTTAGTAGTCATGATTTACATAAAAAAATGAATTACGTGTCGCGCTCATTCTGCCGCGCACGCTCACAATATCATATAGTAAATGGGTGACACCATTCTTTATTAACAAAAAGACGATAATATTATGATTTTCACATTCATTAAAAATAAGAATAAAGCAAACAATATTTAATTTTTCAATTTTATTTTATTTTATTTTAAAAAAAAAGAAAGAAAAAAAGAAAAAAAAAGTTATATATATATAATAAATAGTTATATACGAAATTGTTATAATATTTATAATATAAAAAAAAAAGTGTTCGTTTTATGTTACATCATCGTTAGCTAATAAAACAAATTTATTTATATTAAAAATACCTCAATATAACTACTGATTTTACCCAGCTTTTTTATAATAAAGAAGGATATTTGAAGAGTTAAACGTAATAATGTGATGAGAAGTTCGCTATAAACCAAGTTAAAGATGATCGTAAAGTAAAAGATTTGAACTTATAATTATCCCATCGCTATGGTATTTGTTAACAACTTCTAAATGTCCTGATGTAATGCGCTCTCTATTATAATTATTGATATAAAAATAAAGTAATCTACGCCCCTTATAACTATCAAAAAATTTTATAAAGGCATTAATAGAATATTCCAAATACCCGCTAATTGTTATATCAGTTAAATCTTTTGGGGAATATCTAGTTAAAATCTCTAACAATTCATCTCCTAATATATCACTATTTTCAAAGCTATTAAGACATAAACTTGTTAAATTTCCACAATTCATTAATATGGATTTTACATAAACCAAATCTCTAGATCCAATATGTGTATTTAAGTTCTTAATATTCGGACAATGATTAGAAATTGCTTTAAGTAACATTCCTGTATTCTCAGATTTACTAGATGTATAAACAGAAATATCCGTAATACACCCTTTTGTTTTTTCAATTAACATTGCCAATTCCTTAAAGCATGCTGAGCCATCGTCAATTTCAAGGAACTGAAGTTCTGGAAAATTCGATTTTGCCAAATATTTCTGGAATTCTTTAACCTCTTCACAACTTTCACAATCATAATAAATTGTTAAATCTTTTAAATTGGTGAATGATGTTAAAAATGAATGAGGAATAACACCAACTGAACCATATAACGAAAGATAATTAATTGTACTGCCCTTTCTCGCTAACGCTTTACTTAGTTCCTCACATGACCCTTTCTTAATATTAAAATCAAACGATATACTTTTTAAATTTTTTTGCGCATCAATTAAAGAAATTAATCCAGGAATATCATGAGAACAACTATTAATAATTAATTCACTCAAACCCTTGCAAATTTGTGCAATTTCGTAAAGATTATCAGAAGTTATAGAATATAGATCAATATCTAGAGCACATAGTTGAGAGAAAAATGTTATAGCCCCTGGAAATGATGTTAAAGGTTGAGAAGTTCGCCAATCCAGTTCTTTAACGCCTTCACATTGACTAATAAATAATTTGTAAATTTCTTGTTCTAAAAGATTTATTTTATCTGAACAATCAGCCTTATCTTCTTTAAATACTACATTTATAATATTATCTATAATTTCAACTCTAAGAAATTTACTAAAACTGACATAATTATAAGTTGGGTATTTTGAAAGACTTTTTGAGGGTAAAATAATCTTATTATCGAATAAAAGTTGTTTTGAAGAGGTTGGTAAACAGGAAAGTATAACATTGGAATATTTTTCTTTTGCACTCTCACAATTAATGTATGAATAACTTCCCCATAATATAGGAACTACTAAATGACACCATTCTTTATTAACTAAAATACAGGAAAATAATGATTTTTTATCTATTCGTAATTCTTTAAAAATAAGACTAAGACAATCAATATTTAATTTTTCCATTTTATTTTTTTTTAAGGGGGAAAAAAAATTCTTATAAATAAATGGTTAAGAATTACGTTCCCCTTTTATTCATTTGAAATTGATCTAATGCAAAAATGGCAATGATTTTNTTTTTTTTTTTTTTTTTTTTTAAAAAAAAAAACAAATTTATAAATAAAATGGCGTGTAGAATTTACGTACACTTACTACGTAATTTATGTATATTTGGTTAAATACATGAAAATGATCTAATATAAAAGTGTCAAGATCTGATCACAAATTTATTTTGTGTTACAATGCTGAGTAACTAACACAAATTTTAAAAATATCTTCACGGATTTACCGGATAATATATTATTTGAATGGAAAAATTCAAAAATAATATTAATTTTTAAATTGGCCGATTTGTTCATTTTTTTAAAATAAATTTTTTTTCCAATTGGCCAGGTTAATAGGATTTTGTTTTTTCATAAAAAACAAATAATTTTCCTGGTTCATTTCACCGACAATCATTTCACCGACAGGCCGACAGTCATTTTTTTAAATCCTAATCCAACCTAATTTTCTTATCTAAACCTTAACTTTGAGATGATCATCGGTGAAACATTTGTCTACGAAATGACCCTGTCGGTGAAACATTTGTGAAATGATTGTCGGTAAAATGAATACGACCATAATTTTATTTAGTTGGCCTTATATCAGTCATACTATAATGCCAAGTTCTGTTATCTAGAGCAAGGTTTCCGAAATGTAATCGATACAGGTATTTCCAGCAATCTCTGGTCAGGCCAATTTTTCTAATCGTAGAAATAAATAATGTTATGATGAGGGTGAAGGAGTATTCTGATGAATTATAAACTGAATAGCCGAATTTTTTACTTCAGAATTAACGTAATAAATTCAGGGAAATCCATTTATTTTTTTTATCATAATTGTAAAAAATTTAAATATTAATAATTTTTTGAAATAAAACTAAAAATTAATTAAATTCGTGGCTGAAAGTAAAATATTGCCGCCAAAAAAAATTTTTTTTTTTGTAATAAAATAAGAAATTATCATACAGATTATGGAGATGGAATTGACGCGCTGCGTGAGCCCGTGAATCGATCATGAATTTATTTTGAATATCCAATAAAATTCGAATATTTTAACATTTAAAATTTTCGTGGCACAAATCTCATTTTGGTTTACATCATTTTAGATTGACAAAATGATTTGCAAATAAAGAAATTGGGTTATCATCCAATGAATATGCATAAATTTTTAGTAGTTTCCATTGTTTTTTCACAACTTGATTGACAAAATTTAGATTTGTGATAGTGTGATACAGTATAAATAAAGTTAGGATTATTACACCAGCGAATAGCGATATTGAAATTATCAAAGGTTTTTTCAATAAGTATAATAAATTTCTACGGAATTCTCACGGAGTTTTGAAAATTTACTAATTTTAAAATTAAGACTAACTAAAAAATAAGAATTGATATTGGCCGATCTTGAGGTTTAGTAGCTATAATAACCCGTAACATAAAATTCGATCCATAAAATATAATTTTATAAAGTAATATTAGATGTAGCTCTTTTAGATAATTATTGATAATGATTTTTTATGTAGTTATTATAAAAATAAACAAATGATTATTAATGCATGTTGGCGTTTAAAAATTGGTCATCTGGGAATTTTTATTTTAAAAATTTTTTTTATAATTGATTTTTAATATAATAATATATATATATATATATTTTTAATTAGTAAGCTAGCTTGGTGATAAAATGAATACAACTTTAGTTTAATTTGATATATTATTTATTAAATTATTAATAAACCAAATATTAATACATTCTTTTTTTTTCTAGACCGCAGAAATTGTTATATTTTAATATTTTAATATTTTTCTTATTTTCAATATAACTTTGATGGGTTTCATTGATAATCGATATACACTCAAATTGATAGTGTGTATGTGTGATACAGTAAAAATAAAGTTATTTACGCCAACATATATATAATATACTACAAAAGACAAAACATTCATTATTTTACGGAATTCACACGGAATTTGTAATTTTCCAATTTTGAAATTAGGACCAAAAAACATTATGATCATCAACAATAACAATATTCAATTAAGAATTGAAATTAGATAAGATCCAATGGCAATGACATGCAAAAATTCTTTCAGATAATGCATCTCTTGTTTCTATCAGGTTTTATAAGAACAAATTCGTTATTGAGATTACTATATTTAAATGCACATTTACGTTTTAAAATTGATCATATGGTATCATTTATTTTAGAAGCATTCTTTCTTGTAACCTAAATAAAGCAATTTTATCATCTTATCAAAGAAAAATAATCAATACAAATAAAATTTTGATAAATGATATTTCAAAATAAGCTGGTACGTAATACATTCATTCTTTCATTATAGATCAATGAAAAATCATACGAATGTTATGATGTTATCATGATATCATCGATATTTCTCGATCAATAGAAGTCCAAAAAGAATATTCTAAAATTATTTCTCTCCTTTCAATATTATAGCTATGAATAGATCAAAATAGGATTATATCTTGCGATGTTATTGGTTTCAAGAAATCACACGTTGAAGTTCACTTGCTGAAAAAATTTTTGATTTAATAAAAAAAAAATTCGTTATTTAATCCCTCAATTTTTGGCATGTTGGTACTTTTGAATTTTTATTCCAATATTGTAAATTTTACATCCCACTCTCACAAAAATAAACCATTTACATACCTAATTTACAATGTCTGAAAACTTAGATGAGATCGTCAACGGAAATAACTCGTTTTTAATGAGTAATAATAAAATCCCTATTATTATCAATAATCCCACCGGAGCCCCTTACGATTTTCACAAAGAAGTAGTTCCCCAATTTTTGAACTATTTAAGAAATTACCCGCAAAAGCCTGGTATTGTCTACAATCCCGTCGATATTGAAGCCATCAAAAAAATGAACCCGGGGAGAAAATTACACTATATAGGGAACTTTTCCCAAGATCCATCATTGGCCGATTTTTTTAAGCATTTAAGAGAAACAGCAACCGAAATGCAAAAAAATGGTGACGAAGCCGTACAACCATTAATTCCAGAAAAAGTTCCCAGTAAAATGATAAAACTAAACGAACGTACTTCAAAAAAAGTAGGCGTTTTAATTTTCCTTTAACTTTTAAATAAATGATAAAATAGTACATACTGTACAGTACATTAATTTTAAAACTTGATCTTTAGATACACGAATTCATCAAAAATGAGTCGTTCACGGAATTAAATGAATTCGTCAATAGTATTAACATATTTGAAGAAGAAGAAAAAGAAGTTGGCAAGAGTAGACTTTAGAATTGTATGTATATCTTTAGAATCGTATGTATATGAAATTATTATTTTTTTTTTTTAATACTATATACTAACATATCCTTTTTATTTATTTTTTTTTTTTGACGTCAAAAACGATTTGCAGCGATCTAGCATTAGCATTTACCGTCGATTATTATTCTATTATATAAAATATTTTTATAAATAAAATGTAAACAAAAATTTAAGTTATATAGTCAAAATTTTAATTTATTTTTGTTATTATGTTTCGATCGTGAAACAACTTCATCAGAAAAAAATGTCAAATAACTTATTTTTTTATGTACTTTTAAAATTTTCTTTTATTATTAATAAACTACTAAGGTATTGCTAATTTGGACAAATATTTTTTAACCATAGATTTATTACGTGATAATTCCTTAGTCTTGAGAGGTGATAAAAAGAATAAAAAATTATTATTAATAATATAAATAACATGTAATTTCAAGTAAACCTTTATCTAATACTCCACGTAATTTCATAAATATGTTGCTCATCATCACAATTTAATTTCGAATTGTTGACATATTCAAAGCTTTAGTATATAAAAAGTGAAATATATTCACAAATTCTCCTTCATATTTTGAAATAATTCTTTTTCATTTAAAAATTCCAAACTTTCTTTAGTACGATGACATCCTTTACAAGTTGTTGATATATTTCGCAAAAGGCGTGTGCTAGGGAATCATCAAATTTTTTTTGTGAATCATTGAATTCAAGATATAAATGGCACCTTACCAGGATTTTTAACAGCACATTATACAGAATCAAATTTATTGCTGTATTTACTACATCATAGGCGCTTACTTTATATATAAGAGCGCATATAAGTGCGTGCGCTCTACGCGCGCGTTAGATCAATATCCTCGCGGTTCCATCAGGGTTACTTGAAAACATTTACCAATGAGTAAAAATGCCTTGTATAAAAATAATCTGAATTTTCAACAATGCAACTCTCTGCGAAATTCATCATTATTTATTTCTTTTTTTTCTAAAACAAATATTTTTTAAGTATAATTTAAGGATAATAATCTCGTCAGAAAAGTTAAGAAAAGTTCAAAATTATTCTCTGTGCCATGCCAAAGCAAAGTATAAAAGTTGCATTTTAATTAACGTCAGATTTAACATACATTATTTTGGGATTCTGATTTATTTTTGGAGCTGGTGCTTTACACATTTAAATAATGGGGTAGAGAAAGTTCCGTTACTCCGTTACCTCGAATCTGCTGATACACAGACTAATTTCTCTTAATAATTGTTATTATAAAAATTTAGAATTTATACATTTTTATATTAAAAATAATAATTGAAAGATTTCTGATGTTATAAAAAATATTATGTTTCTTCTTTTTATTGAAAGCCAAAGTTCGTTATATGCGCACAAAATATTTTTGGATCTGTTAATCATTTAATATTTATTCGTTATAATTTGACAAGAATTAAGATCGACATTTTTTTTTAAAAAAAATGAATGAATGAATGAAATAAATAAAATATGGTAAAAAATTTGTATAATTGTTTAGATAGAGTTATTTTTTTTTTATATTAAGGCGATTTGATAATAAAATTCACTTAATATTGCCGGATCCATTTTTTTCAATCGATCGGAAGTTAACAACTTTTATTATTACGAAATGATATGTAGATTCTTCCTTTTATGGATAATGCTAGGCGACATTATGTAATTCTGGCCCTGAAGCGGTGGGCAGATTTTAAGGCATACAGGGCCAAAATTATGATATGAAATTTCCTTTTCAAGCGTTTAACAAGGAAAGGTAAAGAAGTTCTGTAAGATTGTTCTTTGTTCTGAAAAGAGTTATGAATGAAAGTACAAAATACAATCATAGACATCATATTGCATGAAAGTGTTTCATACAATAAAATTCTATAAAAGGATTATTAAATAGGGATTTATTTTTTTTTTATATCAATATTATAAAAATATATTATTTAATTTAAATAAACAACGAGACTTTCAATTATATATGTGAAACATGCCAAGACATTTGTTGCATGATTTTAAAAAATTCTACACCGAATTTACTACACATAAAATAAGTCATATGAACTTGAAAAAATTTTTTTTTTACCTGATTCTTTAATATTATCGGAGAATCTAATTCACATGGCGTTTTTAAAATTTGATATTTAAATAAATTATTTTATTTTATTTTATTTCATTATATTATATTTTTTATTTTTTAAAAAAAAAACAAATCAATATAAATTAAGAATTCTATCAAAGAAAGATTACTTAATACGAGCAAATCATTTATTAATTTTATTTATTTATTTATTTATTTTAAAAAAATTTTTTTTAAAGATAACAAGATAAGAAATTTTAATGAATTTTTTTTAAAAAAAAATCTTGTTAATAATCACAGATGTTTTTCTGATCGCATATCACAAATTGTGGCGTAGTGTGACATCTAACCGCAGTAACAAATTTTACAAATTTTAAATTTTAAATAATAAAATTTTATTTATTTAATACATTTAATACAATAATAATACAATAATAATACAATAATAATATTTTACATGTATAATTTTATACCGAATAATAAATGTCTCTTTCAAACTCACGTTTAAAGTTTTTAATTACCCCTTCTATTTTATATTTGTTCAACAAATTCATATATGACTCACCTTCGTAAGCATGATGATTCATATATATTGATATAGCTGATCTATTCCTCCAACTTTCCAAGAATGACTCTAATATTTTTAACGGAAAACTTAGATCATCAACAAATCGTATTTCTCGTAGATTTGCTGGTGCTGATCTACTTAATGCTTCTAATAATTCTTTTCCGTACACCTCTTCATTTTCTACAATGTCGACATTAGATATTAAGATCAATACCGATTTTAAATTTTCACACCGCTTTAATAATTTTTCGAATTCAGCGATGTGTTCTTTGGTTGGAGGGAATAATAATGATAGACACTCTACTGATGGACAATGTTCATATATTGTGCGAATAAACGTGAGAGAATCCTCGTCAAAATGAATATCGCATCTGAAATGATCGTAGTGCTTCATTAATATATCCTTGAGGGCACCACCACTATTTTTGATTACGTCCGTTATCGCTTTAAATGTGACGTGATCTAATTGTAGTGTTTCGAGATGTTTGAATTTAAATATTGGTAATTGTCGTTCCGAAAAAAAACAAAAATCTGCGGCAACTAAAGTTCTTAAATTAATTAATTCCGAAATGATTTCTTGAATTTCGAAAAGGAAAATGTATAGAAAATACATTTTTAAGTGAAGAAGTGTATCTTTTTTGAGTTTTAGAATAAGAAATATTTCTTCATAGGGGGGTTCTTCAAATAATAATAATTGATCATCATCAAGTTCATCCCTCCATTCAAAATATTTTAAATTTTGTTGAACTCTGATTAATTCTATTAATCCGGGATTGGCTTTTATGGACCTATTAATAACTATAATATTTTCTATATTATTACATATATTTGAGAATCCGTAAAAAAATGAAAAATCTATCGTTGTATCACAGATCAGTTCATGAAGAGATTTAAGATGAAATTTAGCGTTCGGAAAATAAAAAATTTGATGTTTTATTGATCTCATATCCAAATATTTTATTCTATCGCATTTGTTTAATAAAATATTAATAATTTTTTCTTGGATAAAAAATTGATTATAAGTTAAATGCGATCCAATAGTTGATATCACTGAAATTATATTTATATCTATGCTTCTACAAAAGGATAAATAATTAAATAAAAAAGTTTTTGTTGGAATTTGATATAATTGGTTCGTTATATATTTATTAATATTATTAATAAAAAGTAAAGTGATTATATAAAATAAGTGAATTTTATTTCCATAATTTACGTTATATCTCCAAGGGTTTTTCCATAGAACTGGAACCGCAATTTCACACCAAGCCTTATTAACCAGTAAACATGAAAATAAAGTATTGGGATCATATTCTAGTTCTTGGAATATCAATAAAAGTACATCACGATTAAGTTTAGTCATTTTTTAAAAAATGAATTCGTTAAAAAATTATTTTTTAAAAATAATTTTACGTAGTAATTGAAATATGTTAATTAATAATTACAAGGAAAAAAAAATTTTAAAGGGATAAAGAGGGAGAGGTAAGGAGGAAATGTTGCAAATTTATAAGAAAAAAAATTCATTTTTTTTTGTATTTAGATTTATAAATTTCTAATTGTCGTAGGGATTTAGATTCTGATCCAAAAATATCCTTCAATTCTGAGATATAACATTGATAAATATTGTTATACATAAAGATATACTTCAATTATTGTACCAATTTGGATGATGATTTACTGTTTCATTTATTTTCGGTATTTTTTAACAATTAAATATGATAATTGTTATAATTGTTATAATTATTTTCTAAAATAAAAATAAATTTAAAAAATATCGAATTAAGATCTAAATAATATTGCGTGCATTTGAAATTTTTTTTTTGATCGGCTCAAAGTTTTCCCGTCCTAATGTTTGATTGATCGATTTACATGAACGACAATGATAAAAAATTGTATTATTTTCATCCCAAAATTACTTTATTTTTTATCTCAAAAGTTTTTAATAGATGCAATTGCATGTTACGGATGACGAATGAAATTATTAATTGTTTAGCTTATCATTCTTACAATAAAGTATTTCTAGCATGATCAGTTATATGAACAAATTTGATAAATAATTTTATAAACGGAATGAGTACAAATAAAATACGAAAAATAATAATTTATTATTTATATAAAATATAATTTGAAAATAAAAGACGAAAAAAAATGTAATAATATATAATAGATAAATAAATAAAAAATTAATAATTATTAAATATATAAATAAAAAAAATTTATATTATAACTTAAAATATATACATGACTTATCGTCTTATCGTAGTATTTTTACAATCAATGAGGTAGCACATATAGGGATTTAGTAGGGGGTTTAGATTCTGATCCGATGTGAAAATTGAAAATATCCTTTAATTCTGAGATATAACATTGATAAGTATTGTTATATATAAAGATATACTCAATTACTCATGCATGTTGTACCCGATTTGCGTTTCTTCTTGATGATGATCATTTATTTTCGGTATTTTTTAACAATTAAATATGAATTGTTATAATTATTATAATTATTTTCTAGAATAAATAAATTAAAATAACGTAATCACACACTCAAATCGAATTAAGATCCAAATATTATTGCGTGTATTTGAAATTGTTTTTTTTGATCGG